CATAAAGACTTCTAAGAATGAATTTAAATTATAGAGTAGTCTTGAATCCTTTTCTATTAAATATAAAAACCAAGAGAGAGCACATCTAGAAAGAATTGCACTTATGAATTTAACTTAAATAAATCCATCAAGATATTGAAAAAAATGCAATCTTAGATAGAACTTTATTTGTTGTAAAAATCTTTGAAATTTCTATATTATATATCAAACTTCTCTTATATACTTATCCTTATTTCTTTCATACTTGTAGTAGCAAGACTTCTTAGATTTAGTTGTAAACTTGATCTACTTGCTTCTCTTAACTGTACAACTTCTTTGAACTTCACTATTAACTTCTTCTATAGGCATTGGAATACTACCTATATGATTGAAATTAAAAATATATGAGATTTCTATCTTGAAAGTGTTGAGAAGCTCATAAAGATTTGTAATAGTTGCAAATCTATTCTTATTTCTGCCAAGAATTGCATCTATAATTTTTTCTTTTATAGAAAATTCAAAAAAAATTATATTCAAATTTGAGAAGGATAATTTTTAATCCTTAATATCAAATAAAAATTTCAAAAAATAAAGATGGTCTATTTTTTTTAAGAAAAAAATCATTGTTAGAAAATTAAAATATTAAATTGAGGGTTGAAAATTTGTAATCTTCAAAATAAAATAATAGAAGTAAGATAGTCCACCCACTTCTAAATACAAGACAAGAAAAATGAATTAATAATCTTATCAAATTGTCAAAGACATGAATTTTAAAGAATCAAAAATTCAATAGACTCTTATGTTATTCAAATAGAATAGATATTCATTCAAACATAACATAGTATTGAAATTGGAATGGCTATTGTTAAAGACAAAAAACTATAAAGTCTTGAAATAAGTCTAAAGACTAAAAAGGCATTGATAAGAGTGAAGAAGGATTTATTCTTACTTCCATATATCTAAATAAGTCTAAAGACTTATTTATGTGACTTTATATTTAGTCTAAAGACTTATTTATGTGACTTTATAAGATATATATATATATATATATATATATGTATATATATATATATATATATATCTCAACTTGCAAGATAAGTTTTTTATATGTATGCCACATAGTTAGCTTTTTTTACAAACTACTAATATGTAATTAACTTGTTCAACAAGTTTTTAATCTATTAATCAATTACAAATACATGTAAAGTCAAATTAGCATTTATGAAGCTTCTAAAAAGCTTCTCTAAAAAATATACTAAAATAAAACTAATTTTATCTACTTCTATTTAATTATATGAGTAAATATTAAGATAAGTATTTATGTCTGTGATACCTACCAATCAACTTCAAATACATCTAAAATCAAATATGTATCTATGAAGCTTTTAAGAAGTTTTGTCATCAGATAATATCAAATATACCTAAATTTATCTTCTATCTAATATTTCTTATCTAAATAAATATATATGTCTATATTACAAGCAGATTTAGCCATTTCTTAAGCCAACTTAAGAAAGTTGTGCATAAAATGGTTTTCTCCTCAGCAAAATTACATCTAAGAGTTTTGTAGTATTTGCTTCTTAGATTATATAGATATCAATGGATGCCTCCTATATGATGTCTTGGAGCAAAAAGCAATAAGTATTGTATGCAAATTATTAAAGCATCTTCTCTAGTAGTAGTTATATTACAAAATTGTGTGTGAATTTTTACTTAAAAAAGTTTAGCATTAAAATCAGCAAAAAATGACATAGCATTGAACTCAAAAATATTTTAGTACATGTTATCTATTCTAGAAGAAAGCATATTAATAGTAAATTCTATTAATTTAATAATAAAGATTGAATTGTCAAGCTTTTAAAATTCAAATTGAATTTTTTGAATTCAATAAATAAATTTATAAACTAAAGTTTTTTTTGTTAAATAAATAGAATGAAGCTTATGTTAAAGTATCAGTATTTTAGCATTGCTATGCTATTGATAAAATTAAGCAAGCAATATCTAAGCTATAATGGAATTAATGTATTCAAAAATACTTGAGAATATATTTTTTTTCTTTTATTTTTTTACTAACATAATGACCAAATGGAAACCATTGACTTATTCAAGAACTATATTAGAGGCTTTTCTAAGTTGGAGAGGATTTTTTCCTTGAAGATGCATATATTTCTAAGTTTTTTCTTTTATTAATAATATTTTCATTTTGACTTTTTGGGTTTGATAGTTCGTTCCATTGAGCTTAAATATCTCTAGAAGAAAGTTAGATGCTATGGAAAATCACACAAAATATCTCTCAAAATATAAATAAAATCAACTTGTCACACATACCATTTATCTTTTTAACTTTCCAATTTATGCCACATAGACACTTAGTGACAAAGATGATAAAACAAACACTCAACTTTAACCATGCTCTAAGGAAAAAATAAATATAAGACCTTTTAGTGACATTATCCAAGAAACACCTTCTTAAAGTTTAATACCATGTAAAAATTGATATAAATCAATGATTTATATTCTACTATACATATGAAGGTTTTAGTTTGTGTTATAGAATATATAGAGAGGTTATTGTCACAAATATACATATTTATTCCAAAAATTATCTATATGATTAAGAAAAAGTAGGTGAAAGTATATTAATTTCATAACATCTTTTAAAGAAGCTTCTTAAAAGCTTTATAGATTCGATTTTGACTTTACATATATTTGCAATTGATTGGTAGATTAGAAACTTGGTCAACAACTTAATCATGTGTTACATATATTGGTGGCTTGTGGAACAAGTTAATTATGTGGCATACATATAGAAAACTTAACTTACAAGGTAAGATATATATCTTTTAAAGCCAATACATGTTAGAGATTCTATAGAATATTGTCACATAGCTTCTAGTTAGATAGAATATATATATAGAAGCAAGAATGAAGCCTTTTTCACTCTTACAAATGCAATTTTAGTCCTTAATCTTATTTCAAAACTTTTTAAACTTCTTCTCTTTGGCAATAGAAATTCTAGTTCAATTTTTACCAAATTTGAATAACTTTCTAATCTTTTTGAATGATATAAGAGTGTATTGAGTTTTTTTTCTTTAAAATTTATATCCTTAGCAGTTACAAGATTAATTACTAGTTACTACATTAATACAATAATAACAAGATTGGATCCTATTTCTGCTTCCAATAAGATATGTTTTATACTAATTTTGATAAGTTTTAGTTTTAATAAAAAATTAAAAAATAAATCAAATACATTTACACAAGAGATTAAAATAGAAGAAAAAATAAAGAAGATATTTGATTTTTATCCTAATGTAGCAAAAACAGTATATTTTAAAAAAACTATTACAATTGTAGTAATAATATAAGTTGTACACAATGTTTTTAATGTTTATATGTCTTTGTATATGGACATATATTTATAATATTCTTTGTATTTTTTATACTATATCTATATATATATATATATATATATATATATATACACCATAACTTTCATTAATATCTTTACCTACAAATGGAATATGATTTTTGTTTATATTTCATGCTTTGACAAGTAAAAACATTTATATATAACACTTTGTAACAGATACAATCATTGGTTATCTTATGTATATGGTGTTCATAATTAAAATAAGTAATATATATTATTAGATTTTTTTCATAAGAAGATTTTATTGATATTTTTGAAATATCTTAATTATTTAATATTTTAGATAGAATATATTTTTATATTATTTTATTTTATAAGAATTTCCTAAAAATTATGAATAATTATTTTTTGAAGAATATATATATATATATATATATATATATATTTTTAATTATTTATTTATTTGATTTTTTATGATATTAATATGAATATATTAATATTTTTTAATTATTTTTATTGTATTGTTAATTATTATTATATTATACCATATTTTACATTAATATTTTGCTTCAATATATTACTTTCAAAGTATGGCCTTCAATGCTTGTATGTACTTATTATAGAAAATCATATATATATATATATATATATATAATCATCATTATATTTGGTTTTTATTACTATTTTTTTAGATATCAATTAAAAAAAATAAATACTTAAAGCAATATTCTTGATGCAATACAAGATATTTTTATATACATATTTTTTTAATCATAATTAGATTGATATATTAAATTTTATATTTTAAAAAATTATATTCTTATGTAGTTCTTTTGCAATATATAAAAAATATTTAATTACAATAAATTAGTTTACTTGCCATATTTACATGTATAGCCACTTTTTACATAGAATTAATTCAAAACAAAATAAACAAATGAACATAACTAAAATCATTGAAGTCATCATTGCCTATATAAATGCATGTTACATATTATACATATAAAATGAACAACACAATGAAATATAAAAAAATAGGCACTATGGAGGATTTTATAACTATGAGTTAAGTTTAAAAGACTATAGCTAAAGACTTCTAAATATCTTAAGCGTATTGAAGAAAAATTATTTGTTAAAAAACCTCTCTATTTAGAGATAGAACTAAGTAAATGACAAAATCAAATGATTTTATTTATTATTGTTTTAAGTATAATAGTTCATATCTTGATTTTGGCAATTGTGACAAACAATTTTTAAAACCCAATTTTTAAAGGCCTAAGATAAATTCTAGGAACAAAACTATTCATGCAATATGATAAGTTCTACCTCATCGTTTCCTCTTATAACTTCTCATCTAATTTCTCTAAAAATACTAAGCCATCTAAAGAAGAATTTCCAATGATAACCAATCACATTCATCAAACAAAGTCCTATTATCAATCAACTAAAATCCTAGAGTTTTATTTCCAAGTGTTCAAACCCTAAATGCCATTGATGCATGCATCACAACAAAAACAAACATGCAAAAAGTCAATGGTCCATGAATGCCATAAATGTGCCAAACAGGTAAAACACGAGCATGCAGGCAAGGCTGTGTGTTACCACGTTGTGGATCCTAACCTCGTTTGTCTCGTCAGGGTTTCATATTTTAAATCGGGGACACGTGAGCAACCCCGAAGAGCGTCGACGCTGCTGCTGCGGCTAGAGCGGGGCCTCGGCGGGGGGCGCCGAGAGCGTGTCGGCCGCAGCGAGGGCACGAGGACAAGAGGGCGGGATTCTTCGACGTGGGCGAATCCCTCCATCCCACGGGTCCGGACAAATCCCGTTTTGGCTCATTTACTCGCGAAGGCGACTTTTGCAACAGGAATCGACGTGCAAGTTCGTCGCTTCGGGGCTGCAGCCAGTCTGGCAGCCCCGACTTTCCCGACTTGCCTTTCCCACTATCCGTACTCGCGCTTGCCACACGCTGTTGACCTTGCTCGCGTGCGTGGATCAGTCCCGCGGGGTCGGTGTTGTTGATCCACGGATGGGTTGCTGCCTGTTGTAGCCACAGTAGTCCTCGAATTTTTCTGTATCTCGCTTAACAGTCCTTGGCGAAGGAGTTTTGGGTCTTCGTCGATGTGCTCTGTTGACTTTAGATTTGTTTACCTAGTTGGGTAGTCATGTTTGGTGTGCGTGTTGTCTAATACTGTGCCGGAGTATAATAGCGTGTAGGTAGATATTACATGTTGCATGCGATTAGTTGATATCGTTGTACGATTTCGTCGTTCCTTTTCGCATGTTTTCGTTTGGCATTTTGAAGTGGGTTGGAGTGTAATGAGCATTGAAGCCTGGGGTTTCGTTTTCTGTCTCTGCGATTCGCTGCGGTTGTCGCGTGGGGGCATTTAGTACCTTAATTTGCTCGTTTTTTTCTTGTAGCGTATTGTCTGTGTTTTAGAACAATTTTTGGGTTTGTGACTGAGGAATTCTTTCAAGTCAAGGTGCGCAGTTCAAAGCAGGATGTGTCCTCTACGAGTCATTCTGCTCTTCCTTTCTGCCATACTGGCGGGTTACTTAGCCGTGAAGACTGTGAAAGCGCAACAGGAATCCAGCATCCTAGACCCAAGTGAAGAGTCGCCGAAGCAAGCAATCGAGCACAAGGGTCTTTTTGCCGTAGTAAGCATACACTCAACGCGTGACGTGCAATTTCATGCACTCATTCTAATCTTCCTAAAACAACAGGATGTCTTACGCCTGAAGCATAAAGCTTGGTACTTTTAATTTGTAGATTGTTCGATCTCTCCACTTTCGTGTCCTCACAAACACGTCCCATTGCGTTTATTCCCGCGGACCCTCGGATTACACGTCTTAGATTTTCTGACAAACCCTAACGTGTTCCGAGGGCATACTCTCTTCCATTAGCCTTTGTTCTATGAACTCATCTACTTGCTATTGTGCAGGTCTCCGCACGAGCTTCCTCCGCGTTATCAGTAACGATCGACATGCTCAGTGGTCGCTATCTGTACCAAACTCTCCGCAAGCAAGCGAACGGTGAAGCGGTGGCCGATCAATAACACAGTATAGAGATCGACCTGCACGGCGATCGACTGTAATTCTCACCAATTCTCTGCTCGCCGTTGGCGTGTCCATTGATGGCAGCCCTTTGTAGGCCCTCATCTTGTATCTGCAAACCTATCGACGCAACTGTGATTCTTCGTAACTCACTAGAAACTACACTGAATTATGAGACCCTAAACTCAAACATTACTCACAATGAACACTAGTTGACAGAAAAAAACTCCAATTCAGAATAACTTATCCAGAGAAAGCCTTTTGCGTTCATTATGAACTTTGTTTAGAAAAAAAACTCAACCCTAACGGTTTCTCTGTGAAAGCTTAGTGGTTTGGAAGCTGTGAATAAAACAAACTCAAATCTAGCCAAAGCAACCCTCCAAATATACTGGATCATGGGAAGCTTGAAAGAAACGTACTTGTAATTCTAGAATCACATGGAAATAAAACTCGGGCATGTGTATGTCTTTGTGTTGTTTGAACAAGAGTTTGTCTTGAGGATTCATTATTTTGCATCACAAAATCTGTGCATGCTCTTTAGCTGGATGGTTGATTGATTAACTAAGTTGGGCTTAGATGTGCTAATTTGTTGCTCACATATGAGCCAAGAAGGATGAAAATAATGGGGTGTTTTTTTAACGAATGTGAAAAAATGCATGTAGTTAAAAATCGCATTCTTGGATGTGTATGGGAAAAGGTAGTAGAATCTGCACCAGGATTGGGTCAAGACTATCGTTCTTCTAATCTTGTCAACTTGCTTCTGTTTAGGATTTGTTTTTATGAGTCAGCGTAGCCACATGCTGGACATAGTCAATACATAAATAATTGTTTGATTATGATTGACAGAACTGGTACACAAATGCACGTGCGTGGTGTTTTTTATTTTATTTTAATTTTAATTTTTTCCAGCGGTAAGATTTTAGTAGTTATCTAGAAATCATGGAAGCACTAGTTTTTCCTCTAGCCATCCAAATATAAAACATATTTCTTCAGTGTTTTATTTCCATTAATTTTTGTGATGGATACAACAAACAGGTAGGTATAACAAACCTTCTATTATTTTCGAATCTCATAGTTTTTTTAGAAAACTATATGATACTGTATAATACAAACATTAGAAGATAGAAGAAAAATTATGCAATATTATGCTGTAAGATGATAATTTTATGAAAAGATCATCTTTCGACTGAGATGTGGATTGTACACAACTATAATTATAATGTAATACTTTTAGAGTACTTAATTTTGACTTCTTAGTCGTCAAAGAACCAACGTGACTAATTAAAATTTTACAACTTTGATGTCTACTCATTTACTAATCTACTAATTTTTACAAACTTCAAAAATTGCAGATGTAGAAAATATTGAAAAAAATCATACTATGAATACAATACCATTTACTAATGTATTGATGTGCAACACCATTTACTTGTATTTTATGATTAATGTCAACAATATTTTAAAATTAAAATATAGAATACAACATTTTATTTTTTAAGGACTTAAAATAATCATTTAGAAATACTATAAATATACATACATACATACATACATACATACATACATACATACATCAAGAGGAAACCCATTTAGCAAGCTAAATGAAACTATTATGCATTTCATTGTTTTATGGTTCTATTATTTGCATTTTTATTTAGGTTTTAATCTATTTTTATGTATATTTTCTTCATATTTTGCATAAAAATAAAAATAAAATAAAAATGTATAAACTTTAATAATTAAAAAATATTATTTTTTCTATTTTTGTAACATAATTCACGATGTTACATTTTACTACTCAAATATGAACACGGAGTGAGTCGAGAACAGGGCTGTGGTGTGAAAGTGGTCCTAGTGTGAACAGGGAAACTCCATGAAAGGAGTTAATTTGTCTAGCATAAGGCTGCAGTGTGAACGAGGCTAAAGTGTGATATGTATATACATATATATATATATATATATATACATAAGAGAAAGGAGACCCATTTTGCATGCTTAAAGATTGTTGAAGCCTAGAAGAATTTTTTTTAGAGAATCTGCATTACAAATAGTTTTTCATATCACACTATCATCACAAAAATATTGTGAAATTTTGATGTGAGATTGGTTGAATTTTTTGAGATATTTTTATTTATGATTTTTCCTAAAGACCTTATAGAAATTTTTTAAAAAATCACCAAAAAGTTGGAAAATGTTTACATTAAATACAAATTAGAATATTTTTAAAAATTCAGCAAATCAGATATCAGTTGCAATTCAGTCAATCGGGGAGTTGAATGAAATTAATAGTTGGAATCCAATCAATTAGGTAATATTTGGACAGACACCAATTTTATATAGCTAAAGAGTATATCTATATATATATATATATATATATATTCATGTATTGGCTCTGTAAATTCCAAAGCATAGTTTTTGATTATATACTTTATATCATAGTTTTTTTTTTTGAATAAAGTAATATGTTGCTTAACATCAACATTTGTAAGTATGTATATATACACACATATATTATTTGATGTTAAAATTACATCATGTTGGTTCAAAGTAAATTAGGTAATATATTAAATATATATTAAATAAATTTTAGAAATAAATAGAAGTCTCAAAAAAATAATAACTAGATTTTATAAATATAAACTTGAATGTATTAAATGAGATTCAACTCTTAACTTCCTATGTAAAAGTTTTAATCACATTCAAAAAACTTTTAACAATGAACATGATATTCAGTCTTTGTAAAGCCTACATTCTGGTGTAAAATAAAACAAATTAAAAATAAACATCTAGAATGCTTTTCCAATTTGTTTTTACATTCATTAATATCGCTATCCATGTAAACATTTGAATGAACATGTTCGTTAATGGTAGCAGCAGTGGTATAATTGTCTAGGGTTAAGGCCCACTCAGGCACAGTTGGGATTAGTTGATACCAACTGGAAGGTTTCTAATGGTGATGTCAGGCTTCTATTAATTTATAAGAACAGAATAATTTATTTGTTTTTTTTTCCTCTGAATGCCATTTGGTGTGATCTGTTATTGTCTTTGTTCGCATGTGTGTGTATTTAAGAAGAACCCACAATTTTCGAGATGAATATGGTGTGAGGTCCTGGATAGATTGCTCATTGTGAAACTTGAGCGTTCCAAGTTTGAAAGAAGCAATTAGTGCAACGGAACGGAAGAGTGAAGGACTTATAAGAATGCCTAACTGCCTACTATTTCAAAAGAAGAAATGTGTGTAATTATTTGCAGTGTTCAAATCTTCTAAACTGAATTCTTGGCTTGAAGTGATTTTATTTTGTGATGGTATTTGATTGTGCAATACACTTCTGGACTTGGAGTTTTAAGATGCTGTCTTTGGATGACGGGTGCAGAAGCCCTTGTTGCATTTCTAATCAATGTATTGCATGCAGCCTTGTAACAAATGTGGCCTATGCAAATTTAGTGCAGAGAATTTTAGTGATGTGAATTTGAAGAAGATTTTCATGTTTTTTGTAGCATTCATGGAAACATTATGGAAGACATTATTTAGTAAATCTAATTGATAAAACTATTCAATTTTCATTCATAATTTTACTTAAGTTTATGGGTTTCATGACTCTCCTTCTTTTTCTTTTTCTATGGCTTTGTTTAAGATTTTAATAAATTTTCTTCATTATCAATCCTATACTAGGTCTATATAGCCATGGGACACATATCCAATGATGCAATTAGTTTCTTTATTTTCAATGCTGAAAGATATTCTTATTTAAACATTTAACAATGATTGTAGCCATAAGATAAGATTAGTAGAAATTATAACCATTAAAAGATTTCAAACATGGTGCTCTTCTAAAAAAAATAATCAAAATTTAGCATTTGATATTTCTATGATTATGCAAACTATCAAATCTAAAAGATTATGAAGGATATGAATCTCAAAGAAGTAAAAGTTCAATACACTCTAATGTGACTTGACATAACTAAAGAATCATTCAAAGATAATATAATATTAAACTAGAATGGCTACTGCCAAAGACGAAAAAACTAGAAAGACTTGAAAGAAGACTAAGGACTACAAAGGCATTGACAAGAGTAAAGAGAATTTTATTCTTGCCTCCATATATACTATCCAACTAAAAGCTATATGGTGACATTCTATAGGACATCCAACATGTGTCCAATTTGCAAGAGACATGACTTAATTTGCAAGACAAATTCTATATATGCATGCCATATTGTTAGCTTGTACTACAAACTATCCACATATATAACACATGGCTAATTTATTAGTCAAGTTTTTAACCTACTAATCAACTATAAATACATATAAAGTCAAATACATACTTATGAAGGACTAAGAAGTTTTACCACAAGATAATATTAGATTTATTTATATTTATCTTCTATCTAACACTTCTTATCTAGATAAATATATATGTCTTTAATATTATCCCTTCTTCTAGGAACAAGTTCTATGAGGAAAAGGTCATAATATATTGAGAAAGTCCAAGATGTGGCCAATTGTATTTGTCACATATTTTGATCTTTATTTTCTTTGAAGGTGATTGATAGATCTTCTTAGACATTGATAATATTTCATTCCACAGCAAGAAGACCATCCTATTATTTAGTCATTGTTGAAGTCTTTGTAACTTCCTTCAAGCAAAATATTTGTAACACCATCAAGACTCATTCTTACTTCTAATACAATCATCAATCATCAAGAAATTTTCCAATGTCATGATACCAAGCATGTTGTATCTCGCCATCTATTCAAGAAAGAACTTGTCATTCTTGAGAATCTTCATCTTCATTATATCTTCTTTAAGGCTATGAAAATTATAATATTTTATTTAATAAATCATCAAATAATAGCTCTTGAGTTGAATCTCGTAGTTTTTGGTTTTTTATTTCTTTATTGCTACAAATACACATAAATTACAAATAAAGGTAGAAAATAAAATGAAATATTTTTTAAACTATTTTTTTTTTATAGCAAAGATGTATTATTCTTCATCTTGATTTGATTGGATATTATCAATAAAAAGTATCAACCTTCTTTCTTGTATTTGTAAGATTCTTAGCTGGTTCCTATATGCATTCACTTATATCATATTTATATCAATAAACAAGATATTTCAATCTATTTTGACGCCACCTAAAGTATAAGACTCTTTCCATATCTAATTCTTAATTATTATTTACTTCTACAAGATGAAGTAGCATTTATCTTCTTTCCAAGATATTCACTCCCTCATATAACTCAAGTAGAGATATATAGAATATAAAATGGATCTTCTTAGACTTTAATAGATGTAATTGATATACAATTAGATTGATTTGTTCACAAATAGGAAATAGTCTAAATCTATAATAATCCAACTTATTACAAAGGTGACTAGCCTTGATATTATAACAAAGTAATCATATCTTATTGCTAACATAGAATTGAAGTTTCTTCTTACAATAAGCATTTACATTGGTTTATTTTTATTTTTGAGCT